TGTGTCTGTAAGGTTACTTCTGTGAACGGCTCGAATGCATTTAAAAAAATTTTTTTGACGTTTATTTACTATTAGTGAGAGACAGAGAGAGACGGAGCATGAGTGGGGGAGGGGCAGAGAGAGACGGAGACACAGAATCAGAAGCAGGCTCCAGGCTCCGAGCTGTCAGCCCAGAGCCCGACTCGAACCCACGGACCGGACCGTGAGCTCACGACCGGAGCCGAAGTCGGACGCTCAACCGACTGGGCCCCCCAGGCGCCCCTCGAATTCATTTTCTAAGAACCAAAGGTGTCAAAGCTCCCTAAATCCGCCCCCGTCTCGCACTTGCTCCCTGAGTTCTAGTCACCACTTTGCTGGGAGTCTGCAAGGTGGCGGGTTCTAGGCACAGGCTGCATTTACCTGAGAGGCAGGCTCCGCGGGCGCACCCGCTTCCGCTCTGGCCAGTGGACCGGCGCCCAGCCACCCCGAGCCCGGGGCGGCATCTGTCCCCTGGCGGCGCTGCTCTGCACCGGCTCCCGCAGCTCCGGGGCCCTCGGGCAGCCTGGGTCTCGGGGGCTAAGACGGGACCCTAGGATTCTGGTGGAGAAACCCAGGGAGAGGAGGCTTATCCCGGAGGGGAGGGGGAGAGGGGGAAGCAGCGCGGGCCGGCTGAGGCCGAAGCTGCTATTTCCTGGGAGAGGCAGCGGTGCCCCGGGAGGAAGCCCCAGGCAGGCTGCGCGGCCTCCCCACGCGGGGCGGGCTTGCCGGGACCCGCTCTGCAGGCAAACGGCCAGCTCGGCCCGCGCCCCGCCCCGCGGGCACCTGCGGCCGGGCCGGTGCGGGGGCGTGCGCCGGGACACGCGTCAGGTCCCAGGCCGGTCCCGGGTACGTGCACCGGGAGGCGTCTCCCAGGCCCGGGCCCCGCCGAGGCCAGGCGCGGAGCCGCCTGCTATTCCGCCTCTGGCCCATGTCCGACATTTTCCAGAACCAGACTCCGTGGTCGGCGAGTCAGGCGAAAGAGAGAGCGAGGGAACAAAGGCAACTGTGGGTTTTGCGGAGATCCCAGAGCGTGGCTCCCACCCACGCCACGACAAGTGTGTCTGAGTAAGTTCAAATAAAAATGACCACCGCCCGACACTCTTAACAGCTTCTTTGGGGCCTGGTTTGGGTGCGGCTACACTGACGGGAAAGCCTCCATTCACCGGGGGTCCATCTGGGCTCAAATGGTTTCCTTTCTCTTTCAGAGTGCTAAAGTTAAACCCAATTTGCTCTTAGAAGGGAAACCGTTTTCAAGGGTACACATTTCAAGCATACCAACTTTTCTGACATTAGCACCTATAATTAAGTGGTAGATACTGTCGTTTCAAAATAAGGGGTTTCGAATAAAAATAAGGAGTTTTGTTTCCTTTGACGTAGCATAACTTGACAGTCGGGATTCAGGGAGGCTCCTAAATGTCCTACACTGGCTAGCCATCTTGAATGGCATGGCATTTCTGGAACACAGAAAACCACCCGTGCGTTTATTTCCTTTTGAAAATTAAACATCTGCTTCACTTCATCCATTTGCTTATTTACTCGAACTAAAGGTGATAAAATCTAGACGCGAATACAGTGTGTTCCTTTTGGCGGGGCAGGGACACTAGGATCAAGCAAGGTATAAAGATACCAAACGAGAAGAAGACGGGAAACATTCCTGTAGCCGAGGACCGCCCTCCTGGAATGAAAGCAGAGGCTCCCAGGGACCAATTCCACCCCCCCCCCCCCCGTGTGAGCAGTAACCCACAGGGTCCTGTGCACATACTGTGTCTCACTTCTGGATCACTTTACATCTGCTGAATAAGTGTTCGCCTTTCCCTGTCCCTGCGAAGTCATTTTAGTCTCCCAAGGGCTTTCTAGAACTTTTTTCCCTCTCCCTTTTGTAAAATCTGTCGTTTTAAAGGGCATTTATTTCTTCAAACTAGAATACAAGATAGTAAAAATCCTTGTCGCACAATTCATAACTTCCTCCGTACTGTTCAGGAAACCACTGAAAATTTCACTCTTACTAATATAAAAATGCTTTCTGTAACAGGCCCTCGGGCTCTTGGGACAAACAGCCCCGTTGTCTGTGGTGAAGGTAAGGAACCAATAGGGCGCGTGCCTGCAGACCGTCCCCCACCACCTGCAGAGAAGCTGGACACCGCTGGGAGGGCTCGCCCCCTTACCCAAGATGCAAGTTTGTGGTGACTTACAGTCACGACCTGCAACGTCCCAGGACACTGATCATCGCTACTGTTATTTGCAATCTGTCCTCTTCTACTACGCAAGTATTAAAAGGAGCGTTTTTACTCCATTTCCACCAATAACTTTGGCTTCTCTACACTATGAAAGGAGGTGCGTGGCAATTATCCCATAATACTAATTTCACTGGAAATGGGGAGGAAAAGAAACCATTTCACCTTCTGTCCTTCTAGTCCAGCCTTCCCTTACGTTACTACGAACCCGGGCCTTCGCCTGTATTTTCTCTCCTCCACGTCCTTGCCCTCTGTCCTGTTCAACAATATACTTCCCAAAACTCTCTCGAGCTTAGCTTTTTAGAGGATTTTGAACCTGATTTCTTTTTTTTTTAATTTTTTTTTTCAACGTTTATTTATTTTTGGGACAGAGAGAGACAGAGCATGAACGGGCGAGGGGCAGAGAGAGGGAGACACAGAATCGGAAACAGGCTCTAGGCTCCGAGCCATCAGCCCAGAGCCTGACGCGGGGCTCGAACTCACGGGCCGCGAGATCGTGACCTGGCTGAAGTCGGACGCTTAACCGACTGCGCCACCCAGGCGCCCCTGAACCTGATTTCTTAAGAGATGCTTATATGGAATAAGAAAAAGTGGGGGAAAGACGTGATTCTCATGAGATTAGATCCAGCGTGGCTTGCTGCTTTCTAAGTTGAAATTCTTCAGCTGTGAGCCCACAAGGGCGAGACAATGTGCTTTCTTGAACCTTCAACATAAGCCAAGGTGGGTGGAGAGAGAGAGCGCCTTCCTCTGTTTGCATTTATGCAACAGCCAGCAGGCACACGGTCCTACTGTCACCCGCGGCGACAGCTCCTGAGACGAGCTCTGGGTGTTCAGTTTCTTGGAGAGCCCTGACCGCTACCCTCACCAGAGGAGTCTGGTTTCCACACAGCGTATGAACCCGCACCGACGTATGAACCCACACCTACGTGAATTCACCTGCTTTTAAGAGGCAGAGTTTCACAGAACTTATTAAGGAAGATCAAAAAGGCCCCAAAGCACAGAGCAACATTATCTAACTCCCACCTGAGTGAGACCTCACCTGAAGTCAGGGAGGCGGGTGGAGACAGAAACCCACCTGGGGCCCCTTAACTCCACAAGGTCCCAGCTCCAGCAGTTCACCTGTTTCACTGAAACTAACAGCCCTGTGTAAATGAGCCAAGCCCAGCAAGTAAGCGCCTCAATTAAAAAAAAAATAAATTAAAAAAAAAGACAAGCATCTCTACACAGGAGGAAATTTTACAAGGCAGGATGGTAAACACTGGCTTCAACTGGAGGTGATTTCCGGGGCCTTGCCGATTCTCAGACAGTCATTCTCCAGGTAGAAGTAAAGTCATGAGGCGCCCAAAAAGCTGCTATAGGTATCAAATGGGCAGTTCTCCTCGCTGACCCAGTAGTCTGAAAGCTTAGCAAAGAAACCATCCAAACGGTTGAAGTCTGGAGATGTCACTATTCTATTGCAAAAATGCCCTAATCTGTATTCATTCTGTATTTCTTCCCCATGCACTTGTGAATCTTTTGGGGAGAGTTAAAAAAGGGAAAAAAAAAAACTGGAAGAGTAGTGAATTAAAAAACCAGACAAGACACCGAATGAACAGAATACTGATTAAGGGACCTCATCTGTGTCAGCCATCGAGACAAACATTTCCATCTGGCTTCATCCTCACAGCACCCTTGAAAGGAGTCCCTGTTGCCAGGCCCATTTGATTGGGGGGGGGGGTACTCGCTTGCAAGAGGCTGGTTAGCTTAATGGTGTTTTGTTTTGTTTAATTTTTGAGAGAGAGGGACTGTCAGAGTGCTTAGCGGGGAAGGGCAGAGAGAGAGGGAGACACAGAATCCGAAGCCAGCTCCAGGCTCCGAGCTGTCAGCACAGAGCCTGGCTCGGGGCTCGAACTCACAGACCGTGAGATCATGACCTGAGCTGATGCTTAACTGACTGAGCCACCCAGGTGCCCCTAGGCTAGTTAGCTGAGAAATCAGGTAGGAACCCAGGCCGACTGGCTCCACTGACCAGAACCCCCTCTTCAGAGAGTCTGTCCTTGCTGAGGGTGGCTTTTAAAATTCAGCCAAAAGGCAAAGTAGGCAAGCTGGCCTCCTGGTTTTTAGGTGCTATTAAAGACAAATCCTAAAATACTTCTACCACTTCTAGACAAACTGTAGCTTTAAGACTAATAACCAGCCTTAACCTGAGATGCTGGCTTTAGGAGAACGACATCAGAAAAAAAGAGCCCTCTCCGTCCAATCTTGATATATTCTGGATGACACTATGAAGAATAATGAACATTTCCATCGGTTACAAGCCAGATCTTATAACACTCTAACTCTGGTCTTTGGAATGCTCTGAAGTTGAAAACTACATCCGTCCACCATTATCATAGTAAGCCAATTAGGTTTTCTTATCATATCTGCTTTGTTTGAAAAATTGTTACGGGCCTCCTTCCTGTCTGCCACACTATTTGGTTCTGGAGTTTCTGGTTTCATTGGCTTCTGTTTCTATCTGTCTGAGAGTCAGAGCTGTTCTCAGCTGTCTCCCTATTGATTTCTCGTGATACCTGAGTTATCTTATTATTCTGAAGAAAAGAAAATTAGAGAGAAAAACATGGCAGTTATCAAGCCGTGTTGATATGATGCCAAGTGTTTAAATACGTTTGCCACCTTTAAGGTGCCGGCCGAAAAAGCATTTGAAATTCTCCCAGACTTTATTTTAATGATACTTCAAAACCCTTGTTTCACTTTTTTTTTTTCCTTTTTTTAACGTTTATTTATTTTTGAGGCAGAGAGAGACAGAGCATGAACGGGGGAGGGGCAGAGAGAGAGGGAGACGCAGGATCGGAAGCAGGCTCCAGGCTCCGGGCCATCATCAGCCCAGAGCCCGACGCGGGGCTCGAACTCACGGACCGCGAGATCGTGACCTGAGCCGAAGTCGGACGCCCAACCGACTGCGCCACCCAGGCGGCCTCGTTTCACTTTCAAAGAAAGAGGCCTCTTTCTTTACATTATCCTCCTGTGTTCGACTGTCCTCCTGCCGCAAAAGTAAGATGCTCGTGCTAGGACAGAGCTCCCTGTTCCTGCAGCGGCTCTCAGCCACGCTCATCTAAGGAAGAGTCAAGTCGGGTATTGAACCCCACCTCCACGACCCGCAAGGCACCGTAGGCGCGCCTGCAAGATTACGTCTGGCGAAACTGCCCCAACGTATTCACCGGAAGTCGTACTTCGTCAATTACGGTGGTGAAAACTGAAGCGTTGCCAAAACTGTGGAATCACAAAACCTCAGTCAGACAGACTCCTGATTTCCAGCTTCATTACAGGCATCTCTGCTCGGTATCTAAACATCCTGCCAGGTGGCCAACCAGCCCCAGCTGCTCTATTCACCGTGGGCAGCATGGCCCTCTCCCTCAACGTCAGCCGCAGGAACCAGAAACTTCCTGCCACGTGCTGAGCCCAAACCCGTCTGTCTGCCACGTCCACGCCCACAAAAGACACCCACGCGCGTACACACACACTTCTCCGCTCACCTTCTTCTTCTGGATAAGTTCCAGTTTCTCAGTATTTCAAGTAAGTGTGGACCGTCGGAGCTAAATACAACACTCCCTTTCTCTCCCTACATACGTTTTACAGGTATAATATAAAAATTAAAATAACGTGGCAATAATTATGAAAACTGTAACAACACAGAAAGGCAAAGAGGTAATAAAAGTTACCTGTAATTTCAACACTAAGAGATAGCAGGTACTGATGACATTTAGGTGATATTTGCCTAGATTTTTATTCATAGCATTTTAAACTTATTTTGTTTCAGTCTAGTGTAGGTTTCGGTGCTTGTTTTCCGAATGGCGTCTTGTTTCTGATTCACTTGAAGTGTGGCTGACAGTTTCATTCTTGGAAGCTTCTCACCTTTCTCAATCTATCTTCCTGTTGGGAGTCGCTAGATCGTGGGCTCGGCCCTACTTCCCCAGACCCTCTGAAGTCGGCTTCAGTCGGCTTCTGAAGTCGGGGTGACTGGCCTGGCCCGAGCACGGCCCGTGCCCAGCGCAGCCCCCTCCCCTGCAGAGGCGCCTCCCCGCTGGCCTCCCAGCCTCCTGGCGGGAAGCCTCCAGCTCCAAATGTCACACTTGGAAGTTGCTCAGGTTTAGGCAGGAGAGACGTACGGCATTTCCCTATCTGTTCTCCTTGCCTCTGTAAACAGCCGCATCATCTTTCTCAGGAGAACACAACTTTCCGGGTAACGTGGCAAAGTCTCCATGACCACACGCATCTGTCTTTCTCTTCCTTCCCGCCTGAGTGCCCTCTGCCGCGCAGAGCCCTGGGGTTCATGGATTCCATGTGGACTGACATCTCAGGACACTACGACCTGTCGCAGCCCCCGTCTGTGAATTACCAGGGCTGGCCGCCGTCTCCTTCATAGGATACTGTTTCTATCCAGTTGTTTAAAAACAAAAAGGCAAAACTGTACTGTTTACAAAACCCCTAAGAACACTAAACAGCACAGAACTCCCATCTTAGCCCCTACGGAAGCAAAGCGTACCTTCTGCATTGAGATGCATAGTTTCTAGGGGTCCGATGAACGCGTACCGCATGCCCAGGCCATCTGACATGACAAGGTCAAGGTCGCTCGGAGACACTATTCCTTCCTAAATGGAGAAAATGGGGCAGCACACAGATGAGTCCTCTGGAGAAACAACGTTCTTGCCATCACTTTCAAGCTGACTCCTTTGGAGCACAATCCCAAAATACTCTCCAAAGCTCCAGAATAGTATTTTCATTCTACATGTGTTTCACAGGTTTTGCGTGACAAAACTGTAACATATAAACAGATCCTGAAAAGAGAATATTTTGTGAGAGGGTCAAATACCAACTCGCTTTTTCCAGAGCTGCAATCAAGCTCCCATCTTATGTGTCAATCTCCACTGTCTTCCGTTCCCTTCCCTAAAAGCTGTGTGTCACTCGCAGCTTTGGAGAAGGGGGACCGGGTGAAGGGAATGGAGAGAAGTAAGAGCAGGGCATTGGTGGGAAAGCACAAGAAAGGACCTTCTACATATTAGCCTGAGATCTGGACGCTAAGACCGGAGCCATCAAAAGAACTGAAGAGTCATCCTCCAAGCTTTGCCCGCCTGCAAGCCCAGCCCTGTCCAGCTTTTAATGAGTTCATAAAAATGACATCCTTTGATGAAATGCAGCTTAGAACCGGTGCTGTTTGCAAGGTGGGGCCCTGGAATCTTCTGCAAATGTGGACTGCAAAGCAAGAGGCAAGCTCTCATGTGTTCAGGTCAGACGTCAGATTGGCCATCTGCGTTACTTGGCCTTTCTTTGCACAGCCTCGACCTCTCACGGCTTTTGGAATGAGCAGGGGCACATAAGCACATGTGTGCGTGATCCAGGAGGCCACGGCCAGTTGAGTCTCCATCCGAGGAGATCTTCACCTTGGGCAATTCAGCTGTCAGAAGGCAGATGGGGGTGGGGTGGGGGGAGGGGGAGGGGGAAGGCCGTCAGATTTCCCCCTGGTCTTTGCTGCGGTCAGACTGCTAGAATTACTGTGAAGTCTCCAGTTCCTTTTTCCTGACCAGTTTCTTTCACACAGAGCACAGTGAAGACAGATGCTCCTGCCTCACAGCTAGGCCACGTCTACCTTCCGTTAAGAAGCCACCGAGTGCGCCTGCATGGCTCACACCTCTTCCCTGGGCAGCCTTGCTGGCCCCCAGTCCCCAGCCGGAGGGGAGGACAGAGCGCTCTGCTGTGGAAATCGCAGTTCTGCCCACACCCCCAGAGGCACACCAGGCACGCGCACCCACCCGGCCCCCAGGAACAGGCTCACACAAGTGGCCCACCCTACCCCGTACTCTTTTGCTCTGGAGCAAATCCTGTCCTTCCCTTGGAAGGACTGTCTGTTGTCCTGTTGAGAGGCTGTCCCTGTGGCAGAGGAAAGCTTTCATCACAGGGCTTCACCAGGCCCTCTGGCCAAGGAGGAGGCTTGTTTGGCCTCTAGGCAGCCCCGGGAGGTCTGGGCCAGGCTCTCCCCACTCAGGAACTGGAGGCTAGAGCCCGCCCCTGCTGTCCCTCCTCCTCCTCCTCCTCCAGGGACTCTGCAACATCGCTACTTTCCAGACTTCAGAGTCACCCACAAGGTTGAGCGAGGAAGCAGATTTGTTTCCTCTACCTCCATCACTGCATCAGCTGCTGAGGGAGAAAACACCGGTGTCTCAGGTCCCTGGGGGTGCTTGGACCACCACGGCGGTGTTGGGAAAGGGACCAGAAAGGGGCTGGGGCCAAAGAACCAAAGAGAGCCACCCACGACGGGCAAGTACCATTTAGGCATGCCTGAGAAACTCTGTTTGAAAGAACTGCTTTCCATCTAGTTTAGTGTGTGTGTGGGGGGGGGGGGGGGGGGGGCACACCCAAAACAAACAAAGATGTGCATGAACCTACACACGTGGTTTAGAGAAGAATTACCAAGCACACCTCGCCCCCACCTGCCAACACCGCCATGCTGGTCTTCCTGGCTGCGTCCTCCTCCCTCCCTCCTGGAGGCAAACATCCAGACTTTTGTAGTAACTATTTGTCTACTCTTAAGATTTGCCATCTATGTTTATGTTCCTGAAGCAGAGTTTGCTTTTTGCCTATCTTCCTCTTCAAAACGGACTCACGCTGTGCATTCTTTTGTGGCTTGCTTCCTTCACTCCACTTTACCTGTGTCGAGCTTTACCTGTGTTGTGTGCAGCTGCGGTCTGGCCTCCCTTGTTGACATATAAAATCACAGTTTACTGATCCAACCTACTGCTCACAAATGTCTGGGAACATTCTTGTTCCTGGCCCGTGGGGCACGCATCCAAGAGGAGAGCGGCTGTCCTACGGCACACAGAGCTTCGGCTCGACTGGATGATGCTAGGTGCTTTCCAGGGGGGTTGTACCCGTGCTCACTGCCTCCGGCAGTGTATGTGGGTCCCCGTCGCTCTCGGCAACCTCTCCAACACTTGATGGTGTCACCCGTGCAAGGCGCCGCTAGTCTGCTGGGCTATCCCGCCGTCTCACCAGGTTTCCTATCCGTTTGAAATCATCCTGCCAAATGTTCAGCTGGACTGCTAAGGAGACCAAATTAACTGATTCAGTTGACTCAAATGCCAACAAGTTTTACCCCTCTTCGCTTCTGGTAGCAAAGCTTTTAAGTGGGGAGGGGCAGCAACAAGGAGGCAATGCTACACAAAAGGTCCAGAGTAATGTCCGGAACTGCCAAGAAACCGAATTGTTGAAAGGACTCCCCCGCCTTCCTCTCCCTCCTCACCCAGCTCTCAGGGCCGGAAGGGTGGCTTTGGGTCCCCTCCCCAGGCTGCCTAAAGGCATTTGCTGTAGCATTCCTGCACCCTGTGAGCTCAGGAATGCTGTGAAGGGCAGCCAGGCGAGAGCTCTGCAGACTCTCCTTCGCCCTCCCTCGGGGTCCAGGTCAGCATCCCGACCAGCCTCAAGGAGTGCTTGTCAGGGGACAAGGAGCGCTGTGTCCCTACAGCACTCAGACTGTAAAGGATGCAAATATGGACGCTACCTGCCACTTGCAATGCTCTTCGCCCCCGCTGTCTTCCTCTAAATACTGTGTTCAGCTGACTTCTGAAGGGCTTCAAAATACCCCAAAAGTGAGCCACCCACGAGTAGTCATTTTTGATCTGTAAGTATGTGAGCTAACAGTGACTCCGACTAAATAAAGCCTTAGAAGGATTCTCCGCACTATGGTACCACACGGGGGGCGGGGGCAGCCACACTCTCCTCCAATTCCCAAATGTTCCCCAAAATGACCATCTGTGTCTTATCAGTTACTCTTCATTAGTTGAACAAATGGGAAGAGGGAAAGAGTTTTAATATCTTCTCTTCCTCAATCCTTCTCTCTGCCCCATCTGGATTTTCTGAGGTAGATTCTCTAAGTTTGAGTCTTTACCCGGAAGCCAAATGCAGAGAAAACAAATGGTCCTAAGTAGTCATGCAGCTGCACTCAGCACTGAGCCAAAGGTTCACACGAGGGCATTTTGCGGCTCAGAGCGCTTAATTTTGTGGTTAAGCTCCACTCCACCCGGGTCCTTAGTGACATCTGTGGTCTTGATGCTAATATTCTCCATAATAATTACAACTGATAATCACAGTGGCAGAAAGAGGTGCTGGAGTTGGTCATACTGAGCTGACAATCAGTTCCTTGGGAACAGGTGGTAAGCTGCACGCCCCACTCCGGCGTGCCTGTGCCTCAACGAACATTCGTCAGTACAGACATCAGCACTTCCCCCATTCTGTGGCGAAATTCTCAAGTCACATGGACAAAGAAAAGCCCCGAGTGGTTGAAAGATTCCAAAAACTCATACAGAGCAACGAACACTAGACCCCTGTTGGTTTAAAATCTGGTTTGCGGGCACCTGGGGGGCTCAACCTGTTGAGTGTCTGATTCTTGATTTCGGCTCAGGTCATGATCTCAGGATCATGGGACCGAGCCCCGTGTCCAGCGCTGAGCCGAGTGGGGAGCCTGCTTGGGATTCTCTCTCCCCCATTCTCCCCCCCCCCCACTTGCTCTTTTCCTCTCTCTCTCTCTCTCTAAAATTAAACCACAGGAGCACCCGGGGGGCTCAGTCAGTTAAGCGTCTGACTTCGGCTCACGTCATGATCTCACGGTTCATGGGTTTGAGCCCCGCGTCGGGCTCTGTGCCTACAGCTCAGAGCCTGGAGCCTGCTGTGGATTCTGTGTCCCCCTCTCTCTCTCTCTGCCCCTCCCCTGCTCACACTCTGTCTCTGTCTCTCTCCCAAAAAAATAAACATTAAAAAAAAATTTAAAAAAAAAAAGAAAGAAAACGCAAGATACCATGATACAAACTGTAAGTACAAGTAAAGATTTGGGGATGCATCAGGCAGGATCCCACCAGAGAGAGAGAACTCATAGGTTACATACACGTAAAGACATTTATTTTGAGGGACAGGCCTGTGTGATTGAGGGAATCTGCAGCAGGAGCCTCAGTTCTGCTCTTAAGGCCTTTCAATTGATTGGATGAAGCCTTCCCAGGGGATTGAGGAAAATCTCCTGTACTTAAAGCCAACGGAGTATAGAAGTTAAACTAACCACATTTGCAAACATCTTCATAGCAACATCTAGCCTATGTCTGACTGAATATGTGGGCACTGTGGCCCAGCCAACACGGCCCTCACCAGCGGACAGAAGTTCAAGGCATGGTCCTCACCTGCAGATGGCTTGGACCTAGCCTTTGTGAGGCGAATGGCCCGCAGTAGGCAAAAGGGTGATCTGGTTTTCTGGACAAGGAAGAAGAAGGGGTCTGGCAGAACTGAGGCATGAATCTCCTGGGACGACTTCCCCTACTGCTTAGCAGCTACACACAGTCATTTTTCCTTCTCGCCGATCGTCCCGTTATCATACTAAATTTTGATTGGATTCACGTATTTTTTGCAGGCCCTCACTTTCATTTACTTTTCTCATTTTTCTTCATGCCCGCTTTCCTTGTCCACTTCTTTTTTTACTAATCTCCAGCTTCTGCTTTTCTTCTGTTTTGTGCTGCTCTACTTTTCACCATACCCAGACCTGAATGTTCAGGCTTTTCTTGTGCAAACACTGCTTTAACTTGGCTGCCGCCACCATCACCACCAGGAACACAGA